CCAAACGTCACAAAAACCTTCCAAATGCCACAAAACACACCACAAGCCTCACCGAACGTCTTCTTGCTACCGCGATCTCACCCACAGGAAGCCGCAACCGTGTGGCAGCAGGGCAAATGGCCGCGGATCCGGTTCGTATCTCGAGGCCTTCGCATGTCGAGGTAAATTTTTGGGGCCGGAGCTGGTCGTATCTCAAAAAATTCGTAAGGAGGGGCGTTCGTAACTAGAGGTACCACTGTATTAGATGGGTTCAGAAATCACTTGGGTTTTGGTGCAGCATAATCTGTGAACTCAGGCTGGTAGTTTATAAATCATGCTTTATAATTTAGCTCTATCCAGCTACTCTGGCAAGTTCAATAAACTGTATTTAAAAGAAAACATGTCTTAACATAACGTATTTATTATTTTGCTTGCCATCCTTTGTTTGCGTTATGGTTCGATAAGAGCTCTATTTGCATAATCTAGTTTTGGAATGAGGACCTAATAAGTAAGTGTGCAAAATCAACCCTGGATAGAGACCATCAGTTATAGAGTAGGGAAATTTTGAATTTTCCCTCCAGCTTTCTGCTTCCCAAAATTTGATTTCTTATTTCAGTCTCATCCAATGAAGAAACTTAAGTTAATGGGATCCTAATCGGCGACTATGAAAAAGGCAGCCTAATGCCATATTCTGCAAGGAAGGACCTAGACAATGCAGAAGGTGGGTAGGAGGCAGTCCACTTACTGGGCCAAAGTGATTTGCGTATATGGAAGAGTGACCTCACCACCTGGAGTGAGCAGGTAGTTTTTTCCTCCTGGGATGTAGAGGTACGGTGTTACCTGGGAAGGAGGGTTAAAAGAGCCCCATCCTGTCCTTCATTGGAGAGTTTGTTTTATGAGAAAAGGAACTGAAAACAAGCATCTGCGTGGGTGTCTCAAGAAAGGACTTATACCAGGAAGACAGCAGAGACTCGGGAAAGAGAAGACTCCAAGCCAAAGGCAAGCACCTCAGCAGTAGTCTTCAGGCAGCAAGAGAAAAACTTCAGTTCTTGAAGCTGCAAGACCGTGAAGAGGCAGAGCTGAGACACAGGGAGGAAGAGAGCCTGAGTCTGAAAACCCAAGCAAGCCAAGGTGCCCAGCTCTACATATCTGCTCCAGGAACGGGACTGTGAGCGCTCGGGGAGGGGTGGGCCGGGGTGGAGCGGGGGACAGGAGGAAGGAAAGCCCATTTGCAAGTCTATAAAGGAGCGAAAAGGCATTTCACATGCAAATGGATGAGACTGGCTACAAGAGCTGAAGACCTGGGGGAAAAGGAAAGATTTCAAGAGCTAAGAAATAGCTAATATAAGACAAAGTAGTGCTACATATATAGGAATAGGAACATAGAAATAGAACATAGAGATAGAACTTATAGATTAAATAAGAATAGAAATAGTTGTAAACTTATAATAATAGGCAGATAGAATAAGAGGAGTTTAATTTTGTACAATAAAACAGTTTTGTGTGAGAAAAAGACAGTCTTTGTGTCTGTGTTCTGTACCATATTAAGAAAAACCCTAACAGTGTACATATTTCTTTTTTGAAGAAACTGAGTTATTATCATTTAACTGAAAGTGCTGTATGTGTAAGGAGCTCTTTATACAAGAAAAGATTAGGAGCCAATCATGTCTCATTTGGCATGGAGAACTTCTATACAGACATAGGAATATTTCCAGTAACTTAGTCAATCTATAAAATTCTACTCCAGTGTATGGGATATTAGGATTCATCCAAGGGCTGCATCATATATGTGCCTGGCCCAAGTATCCCCCATCACAAGGTAATGGGTCCTGCCTTGCAGATCAAGAAAAACAACTTATTTGCTTGTCGTGTATGAGTGACTAGATTCCTGGAACCTCATCAACTGAGTGGGAGTCATCTTCTGCAGCACACAGACCAGACTTTAATCCAATTTTGAGCTGCTAAAAATACAGGACGGGGGCTTTCTTTTTTACTTTTGGGACCTTAGTTTTAATTTTTTCATTGTTTTATGATTAGCTTGATTTGTAAAATAGCTTGAGCATCTGAGAGAGGGAGAGAATTTTAATACCCAAACTTGCTGTAGTTAATTGATATGGACATTATCCACTCTTGCAGTGATGATAGTATTGTGAGAAGGAAATCAAATTCTCCACCCCCACCTCCCCATGTTAGCAGGAAGTCAAAGCTTCCCATTTGTCTCATTCTACCATCATTTATCTTAAACAGCAATCAAAGCCTATGGCTAAATTATAGTAAGAATGGGCTCACCTGAAAAGATTAAGAGGTGATAGAAAGAATCAAGGACCCTAGCCCAAAATTAAACAAAGACCTGGCAGGAAGGGCCAACATTCCTTAAACCCAAAAATCAAATCATAAGAACATTTCTTCCCCGAAGGAATCTACACTGCAATTACACAATATCAGATAAGGACATCATAGGAAAACCCAGCTCAATAGAGTGCCTGACCTTAGAACACTCCCTTCTAAAGATCTAGTCAATTTCACCAGCTAGCGCTCTCCACTGGAATCCCAGCTAATTACCTTTTCTAAGAAATCCTAGAGGGAGGGTTTCCCTTTGCACCTTTTAAAGGTCTTCCCTATAAAAGGGGATTCCTGGGAAGCCCCGATGCGGTCTTCTCTGTCCTTCAAGGAACCGCCTGCGTGTTTATTCCCAGCTCGGAAACAAACCTTGTAAATTTGCATTCTAACAGTATTTTGACTACTGTTAACTGAATACTTAAATATGGATTAACAGGGCTGCTGTTATGGGGATAAAATAGGGGTGATCCCATATAAGCTGCTTTCAGAGAAAAATATGGGATATAAATAAAATAAACAAACCAACAAATTAACGGTGTTGTATTTTATGTTTAGCAATGAAATGAAATAAATAAATTAGCACAAGCAGATTTTCAGTTCAGTCAAATAAAATATTTTTTAATATACATTTATTATGTTTTCCAAAAAGTTAAAATGCAGAAAAATCAAGAAAAAAAGGAAGGGGAAAAAAGGGGAAAAGAAAAAAGAGGGGAAGGGAAGAAGAGGGGGCATAAGAAACAAAGAGTAGCTTCTGACTTTCTTTGGTACAGGTATAGGTAAGAAAATATATTTGCCTCTTACTTTAACATCTAAAAAATTATGTAATAAAAATATTTTTTAATCTAATATTCAAAAAGATTCCTAAAAATTAATCTGTTTGAATAATACATATGATTTGTATCATATGTATTATTGTATTGTATTTGCTGATCAATCAGCAAATCCCAAATCAAAGTTGCATTTTTTTGAGTATCAAGCAAAAAGTCTAAGAGTGGTTTCCAATTAGAGACAGAGTTAGACAGTGCCCTGTCTTTGAGCAAAGCAGTAAGTTTCACCATCTCAGCCAATTCCATTAATTTCAATATCCATTTTTCAGCGGTAGGTATTTGTATATCCTTCCATTTTTGCACATATAGGAGTCTCACCACAGTTATCATATAAAGAAATACATTTCTGTGTTGTCTTTCCATTTGTTTACACATCATACCTAAAAGAAAAGTCTCTGGTTTCAATTGCAGATCTATTTCCAAAATCTTTT